CGTTACAGAGCCGGATGGACGAAATGTGCATAATTATTGAATTTAGCAATCTTTAGACAGATTAGTAATTATGTACACTAGGTGCACAATATTACGACCACACCCATCCGAAGACTCGTGGCAAATCAGGACAACGACGTGAAGATTCGGCGCCCATTAAGAACCACTGAGGCTGGAAGACGTAACGCCATCTGACATAAGTTCGAAGAATATACATTACAGGAGTTGATTAATGGTGGAAATGTCACTACAGTACGTCATAGGTCAGGCAAGGACTCGGACGCTAAACTGAATTTGTGCAACAGGTTGTTGGCTGTCCTTGTATCACTAGTCTATTTCAGTTGGTCTTTTTCACATCCCTTGCACCTTTGAAGCGTGCAAATCAAACGTTACAGGTCATGGGCGGTACTTTAACCGGGTATTTCCATCATATTATTCGGGTAGTAATTGTGCCTGAATGATACATCAACTATCAGCACGAGACAATCAGCTTGGTCGCAAGACTAACTTACGGATTGGGGCAAAAGCCCACTCAATGCGTTACACCTGCATTACCCTTCTTACTGAAAGCCACAAAAACCTGACCATTCGTTGGTTCAAAGTCGGATGACACGTGAACGGAGCGACTAATATTACTTCTTGAGTAGTCGGTTGCATTACCTCCACACAAACCTGATTCAACATCATTATGGAAAGTGGAAAGTAGTGCTCAACCGCTACCGAACATCACAGTAGACACAAAGCCGAAACCGTCTCGAAACAAAACGCAATTTATCTAGCTTGGTGTAACAGTTGCCTCTCAAGCCTACACGTGACTCAAGATTTCGTTACGGAAACCTCAACAGACCGTGAAGAAAGGACAAAGAGAAAAATGTCTCCCATCACCTAGTGCTTAGTGTCCAGGTAACAAAATGCAGTGAACAAGGCAAGCTAGAGGCACCAATGAATGAATACATAACACTTTGCTGGGCCATCCCTCAGTGTTGAGTTGTGCCACTTTGTTGAGGCTTTCTCTGTACGTGCCTTGCAAGTGCGGCTCAAGGTAGTTCAAGCGCGAACTTACTGACCTGAAGGTCCGCGGTTCAAACCCAACCTCTGCATCTCCACTGTTCCTGTCCACAGCTGCCACTACCTGTCTATGTAATCAAAGGACGTTAAAACAAAAGGATTACTATTTTAAAGTGCCATTCATGGTGTGGTAGGCCAGTACTGAATCCCGTGCTCATTCACTTTTATTCCTTTTTCAAAGGGCTCTTGAATAGATTATAGCCCTGCGGAACCGAAGCATCAGTGTTTAACATTGAAGTCTTGCTAAGATGAAACTCGGACTGACAGTTCTGCCGCCATGGCTATATAAGTCAACCGAAATGCATATGAACTCATTGCAGGGCTTATTTGTCACGTTTTCAGTGTCACAGTAACTTGTTGTTTTACTTAGGTGTCATGTAGCAACTGCAAACATTTCTAGCGCACTGGCGTTCACAAAAACCATTCAGCACCCTAACTGACACATCCTTTCTCATAGACACACTATCGCAGTAGTCTCGAAGTGGACATCTCCCCTCGTAAGCACGCTTCTCTGGAGGATAGTCTGATTACGGGCCTTAATCATCTCGTCTAGGTTTGGCGAACTAATCGGTATTCCGGTCCACGTAACCACGAACGTCACTCTGTACAAACCGTGTCACAACAAAGTTTATGGGGACCCCCACAGTACTCCTTGACTGGAACCTTTACCGCTAGTTTAGTTACTGCTTAGTGACCATCCTTCCGCAGGTTCATGAACAGTGGCCTCTGAAAAACGCTGTTCTAAACAAATCAGTCTAGCTGCTTTCATGCGTACTACCAATGACTTCTGGATAAGCACCGATGTCCCACTACTGAACAGACATGCAAACTCCCATTAGTGCAAATGACGAGATGGAAAGCCCCATAGGATAGCCATGCACAAAGACATGGGACACCTGCATCTCCACTCTATGATAATCTGGTTAGATGGCAGCATGAACGCTACCGGCATTATTTCGCACCAGCATCTTGCAACAAGTGCAGACAAGCGCCAGAACTGTCACCATTCCGGGGAACAAACAACACCGACAGCACGAAGAATTTTTATAAACCTGTCTCAAGACCTTTTCACTACAGCGTCACCATAAACGGGCTCTCAAAAGCAACCTGGAACTAAGACCCCAATGATTGTGGACAGCAATATTGCACTTTCATTCAACGGGTCCAACCTCAATGAACAAACCCTGAGTCGGACGCAATAGGGCCATTGGTCTCCATGGTACAGTAACATCTAAGCCCAACATGCGAGACCCAAATGCGAGAACAAGAGTATACTGAGCAGGTCCACCATGCAGGTCAGAACAATGATGCCCTAGAATACCAGAGGCTTAAACCCCGTGGATATACCTCGCCAAAAAATATGGCCGTAAAGTTTGGTCAGATTTCCCACACACTCCTGAAGATGCTAATGGTAGGAAACAAGCAAATTCAAGTTTTTTCAACACTAGTGAGGATCATCACGTTTGCTCCTCACCCGTTCGTTCATTATGCAGATGAGAACCCTACCGGACACAGTGTGCTGCGGGTTTCACGTAACCTCCTTTCGATAGCCTGACTGAGATCTGCGTGCTACTTTGTGCTGGGCATGACACTGCAGGATATCAGAGACAGTTGGAGCAGCACGGAAAACAGGCTGGTAATGTCATTTTATTCGACATGGTACCCAGAAGTGTGCACTTCAGCACTGTCGGAATGTGGATGAATAATGCGTTTAATTTTGTTCCGGTCCATTGAACGACTACAGTACAAATCTACTGAGAGCTACAACCTTACAATCACTTGAGTGCTTTTGAAATATCCACACGATGGTCAACTACCATTGACTGTTCGCTTACGCCAGACAACTTTAGTTAGTTTTAAAAGGCATGAAATTGATGTCGGCTTCCGCACCAAGGATCGAGGTTACTCAGTGGCTGAGGTGCGAAACTACTGAATGAAAAGTATGTGGTTCGAACCCTAACCCGGCATCTCGACAGCTTGTCTAGGCTTGGGCAACCTGGCAGTAACTCAGCCTTTGTGCCTCCCTCAGATGGTACGACGATTAAGCACCGAAATGGTTACCACTGGAGGATTATTACTACTATACTGTATCCAGTCGGTTGTGAAACCCGCAACTATTCTCCCCATCTATTTATCTTGGAAATTTGGTCTCAGAAACATGACATGCAGACTGTCTAAGCGCTGTGAGGCATCCAGGCCTCAAAGCTACTAGCAGCTACTGAGGATCACGTAGCCAACTTCATCCCGTTTGTATTCGGTGACACAGCCATGGATAACTCATGAATAAGCGAACCCTGTAAGTAGAAATGTGACCAGCGGCAGAAGAGTAGCAAGCGTGAACATTACACCTAAGTCATCCACCAAGCGCGTCTCACCGGAACGTAGAGCCCTGTACAACCTTCGGCAAACTGACCAACCCACTGGGGCTAAAACGGTTACCTGGGGCCGAAATATTATTTTACTATTAGGCGAGGACACATCATCATCATCGACAGCATGACATCAGTGTTCAACACCGATGCTTCACCGCCGTAGCGAGGACACAAAAGGACCTAATGCGAACTGAGCGGTTCGGTCAGTTAGCCGGCTGAACTGAAAGCGGTACGTTTTTTGAGAGTTCCGGAAGACTGCAGTGCACTCCGCACAAAAAATGTAGGCTTGACAAGCATCAGGTACGTTGAAAACGCCAATTAGTTAACCGTGAGGGTAGAGATATCAGGAACTGGTCAGTTATTCGGAAGTGTACCCGTTTGTGACCGTGCAAAAAGCTGCAGCATCTGGAAACCTCACTCACGCGCGTCGCGGGCTTCCTCATGAAAAAGCGGATCAGCAAACGCTGGAGGGCAACACGAGACGGCATACTACTGAAGCAACGTTATAGCCAACTAGACTGACGGGAGATTCCTTCGTAAAAACCTTCAGCCAAAATGCTTAAACGTCGGTTCATCACTGCCCTTAGAAAGCAAATGAGGCACTGGATGCATTTCAGTTGCGATCGAATTCTTACTGGCAAATTGAAGGACAAGATATCCGTCCACGCATGTCCAAAAACTATACTATGATCTATACTATACTATACTATGATCGGGTACCCATGATTGACATGTAAGCTGACACATGAATGGTGCGACCACATCAGGTCTGATGGATACTTACAACCGGATAACTTCCACAGCGATCTATGAAGCTCCATCAAGCCACCTTAACGTCGTCCGACAAAATGCACTGACAACAGCTGAAGCGATTGCAATTTGTCTATGACAACTGATCCGTTGTAGCCAGAGGCATCATGGAAATGCATCGACGTTGCTTTGGTCTGATGATTCTTCAGGATAAAGTGGTTGTAATAGTGAGCACTTGGACGTCAGATTTATAGGGCTATTCTGAGTTCTCAACGGCCAGACATGCCTGATTTGCCATTTAACTAAACCGAGGAGACCATGTTGGAATTCCATGGTCTTAAACGCACAAATGATGGAAATGTGCCCAAATTTTCTCAAGTTGGAACCATTCGGCCAGAAAGGGCTGTGAAGCAATTCATTATACACTACTAATTAAACGTTCTTGTACTTGGATAGTCTGGTGCCAGCGCGCAACACCTAAGGTCAGTAAAACAGTGAGAAGGTTTCCGGTGTTCGCCTGTCATCAGTTGATGGCACAGAATCCGCGAATTCTCAGTTCATAGGCGTACAATTTAGACAGACCAACATCCATCTGTCATTTCTTACTTTAGCCCTTGCCACTGAGGAGTTCTGAAGGTCTGCAAGGACGCTGTACCTTGTTATTGTCGTTGACGATGGTGCACACAGTTGGAAGTCAATCGGCGCATTAGTTGAAAGCCCAAGCTTACAATGTTTCGATGAAAAGACGGTTCGACAGGTTAGAAATTTACTGTCAACTATGTTAGACAAAGTGAAATTTTGTATACTTACGTTTCGCGATGGGTCGGCAAATGCGGGACACTTGCTCTCTTGAAGATCCGGCAAAGGCGTTTCGGAATCAAATTGAGAACCACCATCATTGACTGTTTCACTCAGAAGCCAATACCGTGCTCCTTGGTAGAAATTCCTGCTTCTCCGTTCACTTTCATCAGAGGAATTCTTCATATAGTGATAGTCCAAATGCGAGGCGAATTCGGGTGAAAGATCACTTTGAAAGCGTAACCCACACTGGCTGCACTGGTGACCTGTGTACAAGTTATCAGTTTCGGAGGTGCATGGATGTTTGAAGCGTTCCCAACTGTAATTCTGTAGTTCAGGAGGGGGTTGGGAAGTGTCCGACACTATGCCCGCCTTAACCAGCTTCTGAAAGAGTGCATGTACATCAATGATAGTTTTAGGATCGGTAACTGCAGGTGCCGACTCGCTAGATGACAACGGTCGTTCTACATTGGTCACGGGTGACCGACCGAACCCAACTGGTGGTTCAGCATCAGTTTGTCCTTTAATCTTGACTTCTGAGTTGTCCTGCATCATAGTAGGTTTACGTGGAGCTGGGCGTCCTTCAGCTAGCCGGGCAAGTTCGACAAGTGGATTCAGTGGTGCTCTTCGGAGGTCTCTGGGGGATCCGAACAAACCTTGGCCGGCCCACTTCAGCAAACGGGGAGGAATGGGCGGCAACACGTTAACATTTCGTGGTAAATCGCCAACAAATTTCACGCCAACAGAGTGATATCCAACAGTTACGTACGTCAGCTGTGAACTCAGTGGTATAGTGTGTGGTCTCCCATCTATCACCAACTCATGACCCGGGCCACCCAAATAGGCTTGATAGGGCCGCCATCCAACCATCACTTTAGTGAACCCGGTCCCCGGAATAGTGAAGCAGCGACCATCAATCAAAACTGTGGCAAATTCACATCGAAATCGGACCGCATGCACCTGATCCCCCACCATTATCAAGGGCTGCACACGGTCTAGAAGGAGACTGTACTGGCGGCCATCTATCGTAATACGTCTTGGAGGCTTTGGATGCGGCACTAAAGACAGCATACGGGGGTCGACTCCAATGTTGACCATATCAGGGAATCCATAAATCTCCACTCTCCATACTGGACCACGGATGGGAGGGCCACGAACCACAGATCGACTTGGTGGGTTGAACGGCTCAGGCATGATCGGCAATCGCTCCAAACTCGGGTCTTTATCGAAACGCGGGGTAACCCGTGGCTGAAAACCCTGTAAAGGTAAGATTTGTGTATGGGGCGGCGGTGGCTGAGACAAGACGCGCACATTCGTATCATGAGGCACGAAGTTTTGGTTTTCGGCTGGAACCGCAAAGGCAGATGATTCGTTGGAAGCAAGTGAGGCTGCAGTTGGGGCCCGGGATTCAGTGAAATGACGAGTCAAGTTTACAGGTGAAGGCAACACGGGTGCAGCCACTACGGTTGTAGGGGTAGGCAAAATGGTGCAAGACACCGGAGGCCGAGATTCTAGGCTTTCCGGGCGCACAGGAGCGTTTGAAACCCTCATATCGACATCCTTTACTTCCCTACGGGAGACAACTTCCGCGTGCTTATCAATATATTCTGACCACACACCCGACCGCACCGGTAGTGGTGTATTTTGTGGGCGCATGTCTAGATCCTGACCACCGAAAAGCGCTGGTTTCTTCGGTGGTTCTACGTTCTCCTCCTGTTTTCCATGCTTACGAGCAACAGCCTCCATTTTCTGGTCTCCGGAACGATCGATCAAAAACTCTTCCGCTGGAGCAGGAGCTGATGTTGTTGGGGATTTTCGTTTTCGGTTAAGGCGGGGGTCACGTGAAGAAGAAATGGATGCAGTAAGAGGAGATGATGTTTCTGTGACGACAATATCCTTATTATCCGTCTTGTTTTGGATTTTGGGAATGTTGGGCAAGGAACGGAAAGCAGCTTTGCTCTCGGGCGGGACAGCCAACAAGGGCCAAGCAGGGTCATGTTCACGCACCCTGATATCTAGTTCATACATTCGGGTGTTTGGGAAGATATCTTTCCAGGTTGTCCGGAGGTTGTACAGTTTGAGACGACCCTTCTCGTCTCTAATCTAGAAACGGTTCAGTTAGGACGCGTCAATAGGGCGACTTACCGCTTGGAATGAATGCACAAACGCATCCACGATTGTGCTTGTGTACAATTTTCTGAATGGTGCACCTACGTTTTTAACTATTGAGTCGATAACGTAGAGGCCGATGAGTTTGAGTCCCGACGGGATCTGAAAAAAGAGCGGTAACAGAAGTTCGTCCGAGACGTAATGCGACACGCCCGAGACGGTTCGGCAGAGCTCTACTAGAAGTACAAAAATACAAGTGTCGCAAGAAGTAAATACACGGACGTACGACAGGCTAGCCCAAATATTCATGATTGGTGCTAACACAGAAACTCCGCGTCGGACGGCGATACAACTCCTGGAGAACAGATATGGTCAAAACCGATCCTAGCGTTACATAGCGAAATCTGAAGTGAAGAACAGACCTAAGCCAGCGCACGCTACTGAACACACACAAGCACTGTCGCGCACGCTAGACGCACGACCACTAGCTTGTAGTCATAGCTACTTGCAGCTTACTAATTTACCCGGGCGGAATTATAAACCGCATGAATGCCGAATGTAGCTAGAAATCTAAGACACCGTCCAACCCGGCCGTATAAGGCAAGCAAAACGAGATGTATGTACGTGGAGAATTTTATTGTGCGAAATTACACACTGTGCTCAAGGGATGGGAGAGTGACAACTTACCGCATGAACGTGGTTAGTAGTTAGGGTAACAATGCCTTGCGCAACATCATCAGAATCTTTGTGATCCCTGGCAAATATGGTGAGGGCATTGATCTTGTATTTGTCATTATCTTTCAAATTATCTAAATCTTTTTTGAACGCGTCAAGCAATTGTTCAGGCTGCATCCCAGCCGAAACCGAAACCAGCAAGACGGACCATCAAAACGCGCGCCTGGCGAAACGAGCACATATCAACAACAGGTTCAGCGGGCTCAGTAGCCACGAGTGTGAGTAAGACGAAGGAAGTTCGCGTTATGCAATGCCGCACTCGCAAAGTCTGGTGGCACTCTAAATGCATGGGTTTACGGGACGGTCATGTAAGCCAATTAGTTAACTCACATAACCCGCTTCTCTGCGCCAGTTGCCTGGACAGTAAGTGTGCAATGCGTTCCGTAACTAGGAAGAGAGCCATCGAAAAGAGAGGAAAACCCCCAACTCCTGAATCAGAAAGGCCAGTGCGAATGTTTCCCTTTAGTCGGGATACTCGACGCAAAACTGGTGCTCTTTTCTAAAGCTCTGGAGGACGCAGACACAAAAATCAACTGGGGGGGGGGTTGATAAAGAACTTTCTTCGCTGAACGAGTGCCTTGCGCCAACCACCCCGGTACAGCTGGCTGCGAGGAAAGTCATGCAGCTATATGATGCAGCAACAGAGGCCTTCAAGGAACTTCTCTTGTACAGGCGTGTAAGGCAGAACAGGCTGACCATTTGGGGTCATTTTCCGGGAAAATCACACCAACGAAGCGGGCTCATTCGCTCCTTGGTAGTTTACTGACAAAACCTAACCGAGAATCGCTTCGCGCAAATTAATTACGCCAGAACGCTTGGGCTTTTAGTCACCCTTTCATCCTCATCTGTCACACAGAAGATCTTGGAGCGGGCTGTCGGCATGCAAAAGGTCTACCCAACGATCGCGTTTATCTGAGGATCGCCCCATAGGGGCGCGAAAGCTGGGCCACAGCAATCCTAGAGAAGATGTGCGAACCAGGTTTCCACTTGGAGCCAGTTCGGCCGGCCCTAACTCTTGGCCAAACCAATTGTAGTCATAGCCCCTTGTGCTCCTGAAAGCACGCCGACGCAACCGGCAGACCACGGATAGCACTTACTCCTCAAATGCCGCAGACACTCCGACTGCCAAAGGCAACAATACTCTAGAGGGGACAAGCTTCACGTGGATGCAGCGCCTAAAATACGTAGAGTTATCAACTAAAGACGGTGCAGGCACAGCGGTGAACTTCAAAACCCTAGTCAAAACTTCTGGACTGGGTCGGGCGTGCGGCTACAAGCGGCGAAGCATATTGACAAATCAACCACATGCGCCGATCTCGACATGGGGGAGTGCCACGGAAACCGTACAACCACTGTGAATGTGAAACTGCCAATCCTCGCTCCGCTTAGTCAAAAAAATTTCCTCTTTGCTTGTGGACACAGAAGTCGCCCAGGACCCCGGCAGCCAAAGTCAATAACCGGAAAATCCCTCGTGCACCCAGTTGGCCAGGCTGATCGCGGGCGATTCGGGTGTCAACACAAACACTAAAGAAAGGCGATTGCGGATAAACAAGCCAACAAAGATTCGCCGAATCAAAAGCCTGCTGGCTGGCTTCAAGTTGCACTCCTTAAAGAAACGGGCCTCATGGGAGCGTCACCAGAAGAACTACTCCTCGGTGCTGCTACTCAACGCCTAGGGCCTCACAGTGACACCTTTCCGATCTCCCCACACAAAAATACCCAAAAAACCGACGCAGTTTGCCCCCACATCTTCGAACTGCCACAAATCCCTTCGTTCAGAAAATGTTATGAAAGGGCCACGAGTAGTAGCGGTTGAAATTTTATCCTATATGGGAAAAATCGTCATTCGTAAGTAAAAGGCCCTCGTAAACCGGGCTCCCATGAGGCGAAAAAACCTGCAAATAAAAGGCAGCCCTCAGTACCACTAAGAGGGGGAGCGAACAAACACGCCTAAAAGGCCTTCTTTGGCCTTGGGATCAACCCCGGCCCACAGCGATTAAGTCTGCTAACATCTGCGGTTGCGTAGCTCACGCTGCTCCCAGTCATTATGTCTCGAGCATCCGTCCGTAATCGCACATCCAGAGAACTGACTCACACCAGATGTTTCCCTCCTGATAGGCGGCCACTCTGGTTTCCGAGCAGACTCAAAACGAGTGAATGTTGGCTGGGCCGACTTGCACATACTCGTAGCCCTGCCCAGCCTGTTTGTTCTCTCTGATACCCTTCCTGCATCTCTTTGCAATGCATTGCGGAGTGAACAATAATAATAATGTTTTTTCCCAGGTTGTGGGTGACACATTTCGGGCATTATCATTTTTACTGTCAGAATAAAGGCATGACTGGCGGGGATTGTGGGTCCAGAGAAATAAGTGAAAAGGGGCAGCGTCCCAGGCGGCGGACAGTACCCGGTGTCGGTTCGGTCACCACCAAATCGGAACGGCCAGGGAGGCACAGTACACAGTCTCTGAACATCTCCGTTCTACTCCCATTGCCCAAAAGATAGCTGAGGTTTCATTTGCTTCCGCGACTTGCCTCTTCCAGTGGTCGTTTGCTGTTTGCTGGTTCGAATTGACTGAGGTGTTTTACTGGCCCGGCTTTCCCCTCGACAGGATAAAATATCTGTTAGCTGGGGTTATTTATTATTGCACAAACCGCACTAATGACTGCTTGGATGGTCTTCCACCTTGCAGATCTGGCAGCATGCACGAGGGATGAAAACCTCGTGTGGTGGAAGAGTACGCCCTGCATCGAGGGTCGCCCTGTTACGTTGCACCATGGTGCGTTCGTGTACTCGCCACCCCTTCAGTAGCAGGCCTGGCCTTTAATTCAGGAAAACCAAAAAAGAGCACCGTTGCTGTTTGTCTGTAGTTGGACTGGCCTTGTTCCGGTTGTCACTTGTCCCACAACACCAAGAAATACAAGCCGACGGCAGCTACACTTCCGTTTTTTTCTAAAAAAAATAAAATAAAAAACATTCATGCAGGGGGTAGCCTGAGAGTACCGTGTGAGGCTTACAGCTGACGTCGACGTGCAAGGAGTTGCACTTTTGGCGAAGTGGGGTCACACCACCCCTAATCCACTTCATCATCCAAACGTAGCACACGGCTTCCTCCCTCCTGTCATCTAGAGCGATCATGTGCACAAAATGCTAACAGCTTACCGTTTCCTGATTACAAGCGGTCACAGCTAGCACTTAATGGCTCTTTTTTGCCATGCACTGTTCGTTTTCTGGAGTTGACAGCATTGACTCGGCGACTGGTGATCCTTGATCTTACTTTCCTGTTAGGTTGACGTAGTAGACATCAGTCAAGCTACAATTCTGATCAATTATCTGGGAAGCTGTTGCTTATCCGCTTTTTACTTGCCTACTGCCATTGCTCACATTAACCCCTCTTTCTGCACATCAAGGACTCTGTGTCATGATGCTTTGGTGAGCCAAAAACTGCCGACTGTTCTCAATTAGTCCAACAGCTAGCCTCCGTGCTAGCTACCTCGACGACAAAATTCTCACCTTCCTAAAACTTGGCACCTACTCTGGCCAAGCTGGTACTTGGCTTCTAGATCAGCAAACGTATTCACCTTTCTTGGGACTATTTAGCTTGCTGTCATCCCCTTTTATATTTTTTTCTATTGACACGGTTGTATCTTATGCCTCCTAAAACCCGACTGCTACTGCTCTCATTCAATTTCTTTCTCGTTGCCCCTCTTCCCACGCTTCCAACCTCGACTGCAGTTGCCCAAACGCCCCTTAGAACTGTTGTTCATTCAAACTGGCTGGTGCCCAGTCTACACTCACACGGTCCTCTAACAAAATGGAAATTATCCGTGGGCCTACATCTGCATGACTCTCTGTGTCAATCTCCGTCTCACCCAGAACCAGCTACCACGGAACTGCGTACCCATTCTCCGACCCTTGACGACCGTTACGGGATTGTCCATAAACCGAAACATGTCAGTGCGATGATGGCATGGCACTGTCATGCCCAGTGAGATGGTACTCCCGCAACTACTTTCTCCAGAACCTCAACCGCAACCCCTCGCCCACGCAAGCCTGTAGCCACAAATTCGAGCAGTTCTCATCCGGCCCAGTCTCTGGGATAAGCTCTTCCGTACCCAATGAATTTTCGCTCAGATTTGGCTAGCCTGGCTTTTCTACTGCAATTTCGGCTTGCCTCTTGCACAAGTTCAAATCCGTATACGGAGCTCAGGTCGCCCTACATGTTAGCAACTTGCCCCCATCCAGCCTATTCCCCTGCACCTGGCATCCCTACAACAGTGCAACCAGTGAGTCTGCGTGCTTTCAGATTAAACCACACCTTTGAGACAAACTTGCCATGTGTTCCCAATTTAAATTATTTCATCTCCATCTTCACTTTTGCTCGTTATGACTCCGGCCATTTACCAAACCACCCAAGGTCACTCCTGGCCAGCAATGGTTTTCAGTTTTAGTTCATACCACCTGACTGTCTTTGAACTAATCGGACCTCATGCCCATTGTTCCCAACAAGTTGGGGAATAACTATAATATATATATAACTATATAACTATATAAATAACTATATCATCGGGCATTCCCCATTGTTCATTACATTATCCTCTTTTTGTGTAATCCGCACCGTCACAAATCCCGCAGTTATGCTCCATTCTGACTGTAAAACTATGATCATGCCAGACAGTATGCCACCCACAAGTTGGGAATAAACCTTATCATTATTACCATGCATTTTTGGGAGACTATCGAACAACACCGGATCGTTAGAATTTGAGGGTGGCAAGCAAAAACAAAGCGAAAGAGGGTAAAACAAGAGGCTTCCTGCCCTTCACATGACAAGAAAGGTGAAATGATGGAAAATGAGGAACCGCAACATCAGATCTGGTGAAACATCAGAGTTGGGGTTATCCAGTCGGTTAAATTGAGCTAAAACCTCGAAACCACTGAGGCCTGGTAGCCTTGGACTCTTGGGCTCACGGCCAGGGTCACAGATAACGTAAGTGTGGATAATGAAGTGGAGGGTTCCGCGAGGTCGATAAGTGGTAGTGGGAATATCAGAATCACGGTGTACAATGAAACTGTGGAGAAGCACTGGTGGCACCGATATTTTGGAGTCGGGCATAATAGTTCCCTGGAAGAATGAGGTGATGGCAGCGCACGATCCGGATCACGAACTGTATAGAA